GCGTAGACCAGGTAGCCGCTGAAGGTGGCGCCCGGCGCGCCCAGCGCTTACTGCGGGGCGCCGTGCAGCCGCAGCCACACCGCGTCGCCGTAGTCGAGCTGCAGCATGGCGCTCTGGCTGGCGGCGCGCCGCGCGCCGGGCCGCCGCTGCTCGTCGAAGGCCAGCGCCTGCACCTCGTCGCGGTTGCGCACCAGCATCACCGACAGGCTCTTGTGCGGGGCCTTGCCGGCCGTGAAGGAGAAGAAGTAGGCGCCCGGCACGCGGCAGCGGAACCGGCCCGTGGCCGCGTCGAAGTCGCCGCCGATGTTGACGTACACCTTGTCGAAGGTCACCGCCATCTCCGTCTCCGATGTGCCCTCCAGAGGCGTGGTGCGCGCCGCCGAGAAGGCCGAGCGCAGCTCCGTGGAGCCGGGCGCCGGGCCCAGGGCCCAGGAGGCTGCCGGGCCCAGCAGGCCCAGCAGGAGCGGCAGCATGGCGCCTGCAGGGGGGAGAGGGTGCAGAGGGAAGGAGAGGAGGGTTGGGCGGGGGCACCTCCAAATTCCCGGAGCTCTGGACCGGGAGACCGGTGCTCTTCCCAGCCCTGCCCTTGATGCGTAACTAGGACTCGGTTTCCCATGCACTTGGGTGAGATCAGTGATTTGCAAACTGCGGCAGTCTCGCCTGGAGAGCTTATTCACACAGACATGGTTGGTCCTCATCGCCAGAGTTTGCATTTAGTAGGTCTAACGAGGCCTGAGAATTTTCATTTTCCAGCGCATCCCCAGGTAAAGTAGATGCTGCTGGTCCAGGGACCACACTTTGGGAACCATTAGATCAGGCCAGTGATTCTCCAAACTGTTGTTGTTACAAGCACCGGAACCCCTTTCTCAGGTGAAAGCTGGCATACATAGAACACAGGTACAAGCAGAGTGCTCTGTTTGTAGGGGCTTCCCCTGTCCCCTTCCCCTTGGCACCAGGGGTCCTGGGAACACAAGGGGTGGGCAAGGGGTCTCTGAGTGTCCGTCAGCCTCTGGGTTGCTGCATTTTCCTGTGGCTATTCTGTGGTCTCTGGCTTGCCTTTCACTCAGGCATTGGTTTGCTGTACTGATGCCCTCCGTGATGGCTACTGTTTCAGCCCATCTGGGCAGGAAAGGAAATAGCTACTCCCTGCCCCCTCCCCTGGTCTCTGACCCACACAAGAGTCAGCTTCCACGCTGGGCTTCTGGATTCCTCAGGGGCCCTTCTTGCACTAAAGGGGCCAGAACAGTTGGGCTTGGAGGCAGTTCACCCGAGTGACTTCTCTGAGCCTGGGGGCTGGTCACAGGGAAAGGGGAGAGCCCGGAGCTGCTGCTAACAGGGAGAGCCACCATTCCAGCAGGCCTCTGACCGTGTTCTGCAGTGGTGCAGTGGAGAGGACAGACAGCTAGACCTGGGCTTGGGTCCTGGCTCTACCACTTACGCTGTGAAATCTTAGGCAAGTTCCTTAACTTCTCTGGGCATGGCTTCCTCTGTGTAAAGGGGAGGAAACCTGACTGTGAGAATGTTCTGAGATAACAAGTGTGAACACAGTCTGAACGGCGGTGTCACCCAGGGGTGTAGATGCTTCTGCTCTTGCCTTGAGAAAAGCAGTCTGATCAAATACTTGACGTAAGGGGTTAGGGACTCAGTAACTCCTACTCCTGGGAGCTTGGTGAAGGCACTCTCCGATGGTGGGGTTCCATCAGCTTCCCAGTAGGCATAGGCTTTGGGAATCGAATACCCAAAGGCCTTGAAGTGGAGACAAAGCAGGACAGAAAATGAGCTGGCAACAGCCTAGCATGGGGGCTTCTGTAGGCAATATCTTGGGAGTGTGTGTCGCTTTATGTCTCTTTGAAACATGGGGACCTGCCAGGTGCAGCCGTACAGATGTGCTCTACACAGCAAGGACATTCACCTTGGGGAGGTGGGCACTGGAACCTAGCCCGCATTACACTTGCCCGAATGTGTGGGGCTGGAGAAAAGTGTGCCTTTTCTTGATCCTCTTAATAAAGACGCCAAGTCCCCAGCCCAGCTGAACCCTCTCCCTCACTCTACCTTTCCTGCTTCCTACAAAGGCCCCCTATGGGTTAGCCGATACCCTTGGTGGGGGAGAGGCAGGAGGGAACCCATGGCATTTGGAGTGGGGAAGACTGTACCTCAGTGCATTCCCCTTTGAAAAATTCTTTGGAAATATCTGGGCACCTGGCAAACAAGTGGGTCCTCTCCCACTTAATAGATGAGAAAAGCCGAGACCCAACAAGAGGACGTGTTTTGGACCAAGATCACACACGGAGCACTGAGGCAAGCCTTGAAACAGGGTTTTTGACTCCAAAATCAGTGTGCCCTCCTCTCCACGGCCTTTCCCTCCTAGACACCGCTATTTCCAGACAACCTGTCCTCTGCCTCAGTTTCCCTTTTTGCAAAATTAGGAGGGGAGTCCAGTGGAATGAGTCTTGGCATCAGGGGTGAAGAAAGAAAGCAAAACCAAATAAAACCAACCAAACAAGAACTCCCCCGTTCTGCCTTCCGAGAGTGTGGGAGCATCTGAGCTCTTCCTGCCCCTGCTGCTCTCTTAGCTGTCCTACTACCGGCCCCTGCCCACCCTACCCCAGCCGGCGGTGCCCCGTGTGTCCAGGACCCCACCTTTGTTCCACCCACCACTGCCCAGTTCCCAGATGCCTAGGTGCCCTCCTTCCCTGAGCAGGCCAGAGGGGGGAGGGGTCAGGTGGGCATCACAGCTGCAGGGAGAGAAATGGCTGCTCCTAGCTCTGTCCAGGTGGAGCGCAAAATAGTCATCTTTAAAGAGAAAAAACTGGGGCACGGATAAAGCGGGCAGACCCGGAGGCCGGGACCCACGGGGGAGGTGCAGCGATGGCAGGCTAAGGGATCTCAGCCCCGCTCCTCGCCCAGCCCGCTCCCCAAATCCTGCCTCCCTCAAGAGCTCCCCTCCCCACCTACCGTGAAGGCTCCCCGTGCTCCCAGTAAGTCCCCCTTCACAGAAGCCAATGAATCATTCCTCATGGGAAAAATCCCCCAGAAAGGGGCACCCCAGACCCCCTCCCCTCACATCCCCCCCGCCCCCCAGAGCCTCCTTTATTCATCTTTTCCGAGAGAAAGCCCTTGAGCCTCATGAAAAAGCTCCCAGATCCTCCTGCCAGGGAAGGACCCGATTTCCACGCGCCCTCCCCGCCCCCGCCCCCAATTCAGGATAGCCCCCGCCTCCCCCAGCCCCTGCCCTCCAGCTGCTCTCACCTCACCTGGCTGAGGACGGGGGTCGGGTCGGTCCGCTCCGAGCCCGCTCGGTTCTGGGCTCCGGGATCCGGGCTCCGGGCCGCGCACGGAACACCCGCGCTGCGGCGGGAGGGGCCTGGCGGGGCGGCGGGGGCTCGGGCAGCTGCTCCCGGGCGCGGCGGCGGGGTGCGG